GTTTCCTCATCTGTAAATTGAGGACAATCATCTAGTTATTGTACCTCATTCATAGCACCACAGGGTGAAGATTTAGAAGGAAAATGATAGTTGACATTTATATAATGTTTTAATGAGAGGATAGTATGGCAAGTAGATGCTCTGGGTGTCAGAAAGACCTGGGTTCTAGGCCTGCCTGTGATGCATGCTGGATATGTGACTTTGGGCAAGTCAGTGGATTTCTCAGTGTCCTGGGGCAACTCTCCAAGACTGTAATTTATACAGTAGTTGTTATCTGCATTGGTAGATGGTATTTCTACAGTGGCTAGAATGAAGAGTCTGGAGTTGGGAAGATTTCATCTTCCTGACTTCAAATCCAGCCTCAAATGCTTACTAGTTGTGTGACCCTGGACAAGTCACTTAATCCTGTTTGCCTCAGTTTCCTCATCTGCAAAATGAGCTGGAGAAGAAAATGGCAAACCACTCTGGTATCTTTGCCAAGAAAACCCCAACTGGGGTCAGGAAGAGTTGGACTGAAAATGATTCAACAACAACAATTTCCCAACTGTGAGCTTTCTGTATTTACAGAGAAGAAACGTGACATACTACCAGTTGTTAATATTTATAAGGAAAATTAACAATTCAGCTGATCTAGACTGAGTCAGAGAATTCCAATGTTCCCCATCTGAATCTGCTCCGAGTCTATCCCTCTTCGCTGTAAGGATATAAGAGAAATCTCTGTGGTTCTCCTCTTGCTTGTAGGCACTCCTAATTCCTTCTGGGAGAAGGTGCTCTTTTGATGCTGTTACTAGCTGCTTTCTCTGGCCCTCTCCTCTCCCCCTTCTCCCTTAGCAGATGTAGGTGTGCAGAGCCCACATGGCATTCTGCTCACATTGCCAGCATAACCACTGGCCCTCTAGGCACACCTTTGGTTCCAGAGACCTGTTTGGGGCAAGCCAGTGGCTTCAGAACATTTACCCAATGACAATGCAATCCTTTTCCTTAGGTATGGGGAGGTTCCTGATAATGAAGCAGAGCCCTATCTGGAAGAACTTTTGGAGCTGCTGGTATGGCTCACAGTCTGTGGGAAGATGGAACTGAAGGTGTTTGACAGTGTCACCTACCCTCAACTAGATGGTTTTAAGTTCCAGCATGAGCCCTCTGGTAGAGTATATATTTTGTCCTCTTCTCCAGTCTAGTAGTCTATTATTCTTGGGATTTGTTGTCTTCCATCAAAGGTTCCCTCTGATGTCTCATTGTGGGGTAGACATGACCCTAGGTTCCCAAAGGCCAAGGCAGTAGAGCCTAGGCTCTGACTGCCTCTGCCAAGCTGAGAGGTTTCAAGGAGGGGCATAGAAATGAAATAGCCTTCTGTTATCCCAGGGCCAGCTCAGCTCCAACCAGGGAGGCTCATTACCAGGCTGGGACATGCTGCCACAGACACCGTTATTAGAGACCATCAACTGAGTCACAGAGGAGCCATAATACTTATAGGATGAGGGGATATCTACATTGGTGAAATTAGAGGCCCTTGAAGTATTGTAATTTGCTGTGCTCTGATAGACCTGGAAAATGGGCCTTACTTGCTGCAATCTAATACATAGAAAACAATATTTTTGCTTTTAACTGGCTCATTCTATTTGACTCTGTTACTGAGTTAAGGGAAGTTATTTGTTACATCAATTACATCTACCCTATAGACTTAATTTTAATTAACTAACTAATTAATACATTTATAATAGCCAATCTAGTTTTGTCTTATTCAAAACTCATCTATACCTAGATATATAAAGTCAAGATTGGCATGGTCAGAGACAGCCTCTCCCACTACAAAGGCACTCCCCACTCATCCCAGAAAGAACCTGCTTCCAAACTTCATAGAATAAATCCCCTCAATAAAAGGATTTGTTCTGTAAAACATGGATTTAGTCAAAAGGTTGCACCCAAGCATCAGACCACATGTGGCCTGGAGACTGCATGCTCTCTACTCCTGGTCTAGACCAAAACAAAAGGTGAGGGAAGGCATAGTGAGTTAGTATCTATTAAAATTACCAAATGAGGTAATAGTTATAAGTGACACAGTGGATAGAGTGCCAGGCCTGGAGTCAGGAAGACTCCTCTTCTGGGTTCAAATCTGGCCTCAGACACTTCCTAGCTGTGTGACCCTGGGCAAGTCACTTAATTTTGCCTTAGTTTCCTCATCTGTAAAATAAGCTGGAGAAGGAAATGACAAACCACTCCAGTATCTTTGCCAAGAAAATCTCAATGAGGTTGAGAAAAGTTGGACATAAATGAAAAATGATTGAATAGCCACAAAAATTTAGCACAGTTCCTGGCCACAGAGTAAGCACTATATAAATTTTATTATTATTATTAGTTTATTTTATCTAATTCACACCAGACTCTCTAATAAGCCAAAGACTGAGTTTTCCTCTATTTTCCCTAGCTTTTCCCCTAAGGTCCACCATTTTAACTGAGATATTAGCGTTATAATTAGTGCAACAAATATTTCAAGAAATATCTAAGTCTTTAGTATTTTTATTTTCTCCTTCAGGGATGACTGTGAAAAATCTCCAGGCCTTTCAAGTGTTGCAAAACGCCTTCCAGAAAACCAGCGACCCCCTTCTCTGCCGAAAAATATTATCCAGCATCAAAACAATATGGAGCTGGAATGGAAGGAATTTTTTCCTCTTGGAGTGGACCCTGCAGCCTATCTCCCAGTTTGTAGAGATCATTCATCTGAAGCCCCCCCTGGCTCAGATGCAGTTCTTTCAGCTGTTGGAGTCTGTGGTGTTTGACCTGTCTTTTGTCCCGCATGAAATTCTCAAGAAAGTGCAGAATTTGGTCAAAGAGAACCAAGCACCATCTTGTACCTTAGTGGCCTTACGGAGCCTCCACAAGATCATCGCACATGATTTGCTCTTCACTGACATATTCAGGGACTCAGGGCTTTTGGGTCTCTTGCTGGCTCAGCTGCGAAAACAAGCGAAGATCATGAGGAAAAGAGGTATGGTTCAGAGATCACAGTACAATAATACTCTACTTACTGACCTTGCTGGCTTCCTTTTACTCCCAACTAACACCCCACTTTCTCCAGGAAGCCTTCCCTACCATCTCTTCATTCCATTACTTTCCCTCTTTCAATTATTTTCTATTTATCCTGTATATAGTTTGCCTGTGTATATCTGTTTGCATGCTGTCTCTCCCATTAGATTGTAAGCTCCCTGAGAGTAGGGGCTGTCTTTTGCCTTGTTTTGTATCCCTAGTGTTCAGTACAGTACTTGGCACAGAGTAGACACTTCATAAATGTTATGCAATTGAATGATTTCATAATACTCAGCTTTTGGAAGCTGAGCTCAAAGGACTCATTTATCCAAAGTCAAGAGGAGAGGCCAGGTCAATTTCTTGATCCATCCTATATGAACTTTATTAATTTGAATTTAATATGCTGTTCTAAATATAAAACAAGTCAGCCTACGGTCACTCTCATGTGTCTTCTTTATTAAAAAAAGAGTCCAGTCTTGTGATGTTATCTGTTTCAGGAACTCTGAGCATCAAAATTCTCTCCAGATGAAGTTCATCGACTCATGTGTAGCATAACTTTAAAGATTTGCCTGGGCACAGAGATGTTAGTCATTGCCCATAGCCACATAGCTCCTATGTTTTAGAAGCAGGATTGGAACCTAGATTTTCCTGTCTCTAAGACTACCCTTTTATCTACTATTCCAGGCTTCTTCTCATTTGAATACTCCCTCACTAATATTGCCACTATATTATCCAATTTTCTTAATTAATCAGCAAGGAAAAAGCAATTAGACCAAATACTAAAAGTACTACATGCCTGGAGGAAGAAAAGACATGGTGTTCTGAACTTATTGTACTAACATTCAGTACATATCAAACTCTTATACAGTAAATTCTGAGAAATGAACATGCCTGGGATGTCGTAATCTCTTTTTCTGTGATGTATCTGGTAATAACTTTGGACCAGATGATTCTGATGCTTCAAAACGAGCAGAATAATCATGAGTTCATTCTTTTCTTACCCTTTAAAGGAACAGGTCTCAAATCATAGTGATGTGAAACAATCCTTATTTCATTTTTTATATGGCAGGAAACAGGGGGTTATCCAGTTTTGAGGATATGGACAGAGACCTGGCCTGTGTGATGTTGAAAATTGTGGCTGCGCTGCTGCAGGGTTCTGTCCGTAATACAGGTAAGGGGGATTCACAATGTAAATGTTTCACAATTCCTCTTGAAACCTTGAGCTAGGTCTTACTGAATGAATTTATATCTATCTGTCTATATCTGCATATCTACCTATTTATGTCTATCTATCTACCTATCTACCTACATACATACACAAAATACATGCATACATATATACATACTGTCTATCCTCTATCTGAATGGTAATTGATGAAGATATCACAGCTAACATCCAGTAGCTATCAGATATTTATTAAACATCAGCATGTTAGTGGATTTGTTGACAATCTATTTTCACTCCAATGGTTCCTGACTTAATTTTTAATAATCTTAGTAATCTTAATTTTTAAGCCTTAACAACAAGAGAGTGAACACAGGAATGAGCAGCTAGGTGGTGCGTTGGATAGGCCACAAGGCCAGGAATCAGGAAGACTCATCTTCCTGAGTTCAAATCAGGCCTCAGACATTTACTAGCTATGTGACCCTGAACAAGTCACTTACACCTATTTGTCTCAGTTTCCTGATCTGTCAAATGAGCTGGAGAAAGAAATGGTAAACCCCTGCAACATCTTTACCAAGAAAACCCCAAATGGGGGTCACGAGGAGTCAGATGTGACTGAAATGAGTTAACAAGACACAATCACAGTGTGTCATTTTTGCCTGGCTCAGTTAATCCTATTTTGATGAGCTAACAGGTCATAATGAAAATAATGCATGCATGTATTGTCTATTGTCCTTTCGGCATTTAATAGGTCTCTTAAGCCTATGGAGTATTCAGTTAAATGTATAAACTATTACACTTTGCAGACATATGTCCCTGGGTGGGCTCAAACCACCAACCTTGTGGTTAACAGCCACACACACTAACCAGTCATGCCACCGAGACTCTAACAAACTATTTGATGGAGGACTCACACGTGACAAGTGTTCACATGATGGTCAGAAAAAGTGGTACAAGGACATTCTCAAGGTCTCCCTTAAGAACCCTGGAACTGATTGGGTGATGTTTTACTTGTAATTGATGGCACAGACCCCCAGCATGGCATGCCCACATCAGAGAAAGTGCTGTGCTCTGTGAGCAAAGCAGGATTGAAATATTTAAAAAAAAATGCAAGATGCACAGATTCAGAGAATACACCCTAAATGTTCCCATGGACTATTTGTGCCCCACTTGTGGTAGAACATTCTGAGTTCATATTGGTCTGCTCAGCCACAGTCAGACACACTGTGACTTGACTCCAGCATAGTGATGTCACTTCGGTACTCTTTGAGAACAAAGGACAGCAACGAACCAATAAACTATTAGATTGGGACTAGTGTTATCAATATTAGAAACATCCCTTCTAGATTTAATCCTCCATCAGTCTATGAATATATGTAGTACCACATAAATCATAGGTATATTTGGCTTCTGTGTTCTGAGAAGCTCAAATAGTATCTACTGTCAAAAAGCATCCAAGACCAAGCTTGGTGCTGAAGGACAGGTGATGAAACACAAAGGGTCAGTGGTGAGGGGCACTAAAGTGTGAAATATTTCCCATACTTTCAGTTGCAGTACATGAGTTTCTTTTGCTCAACTATTTTTCTTTGTTACAAGCGGCTTCTTCCATCAGGTGGAGGGAGGGATGTAAAATGACTATGGAAGGAAGCAAATGAAACTTTAATAAAACTTTTTAAAAATAGTATTTTAATTTCTCAATTACAAGTAAAAATAATTTTTAACATTTTTAAAAATTTGAGTTCCAAATTCTCTCTCTCCCTCTTCTCCCCCATCCCTCAGTTGGCAAGCAATTTGATAAAGGTTATATATGTGTAATCATACAAACATATTTCCATATTAGTCATGTTGTGGAAGAAAATACAAACCAAAAAGAAAACACACACACACACACACACACACACACACACACAAAAGGTGAAAAATAGTATGCTTCAATCTTCATTCAGACTTTCTCAGTTCTTTCTCTGGAGGTGGCTAGCTTTTTCCATCATGAGTCCTTTGGAATTGTCTTGGATTATTTAATGAAACTTTAAAAAAATATCCCATCAATTCACAGTTTCAAAGAACATTTTAAGGTGTTCAAAAAAGGCCTACTCAGAGTCAAAGGGACCCATGAGGACTAAGTCTTTGAGTAGTTTGTGAGGCTCCTATTACAAACAAAAACATATCGGTTCTGGGTTCCCTTATACATCTCCTATGACATCCTACCGAAGAAAATGCTCCAAAATTTAGTTTTATATCTTTTTGAAATGAAGTTGGGGGTATCAGCAGGGGTGAAATAAAAGTTAATATTTTGAACATTTCATAAAGTTAGCATAGTATATGAGGGCAACAAAAGGCTAGAGGTAGCCCTTATAGTTTATGCCTATGCTATTTTAATGTCAATATTCCAAATATTTGTGATTTCATTGGTGTGGGTGTGCCCTTTACTAACACAGATGGTCTTAGAGAGTTACCATAGTCAAACAAATTCATTACTCTGTAGTCCATCTGGTAATGAGCCTCTCTGAACTTTAATGAAGCTAGTCATCAGAAAAAAAAGACATATAGTAGATGATTTCCTAGGATAGTAGGATTTCTAGGATAGTAGGATCTGTTAGAGATAGTGTTCTAATAGCATAAGGTTCTTTCCATGTCGTAATGAGACATATCTCATGGTTATTTTTCCTTAAACAAAAAAAAATCAATTGGAGAGTAAATATATTCTTGTTGCTTTTGATTTCAAATCTCTGAATTTCCTACTATTTGATTTCTAGAATGTGTTTTTAAAAATAGATATGTATCACCATAAGAAAAAAAAGTAGTCGAGCAAGGGAGAAGTGGACTTGGAAGATTGTGTTATAAGATACAGTTGTATTATTGTCTTTCCACCATTATCTTTCCTTCACTTCCCAAACTCTCCTTGTGGTCCACAGTTGTCCTGAAAGATCATGGTATGGTTCCTTTCATCAAGATATTTTTGGATGATGAATGCTATCGTAGTGATTCTTTAAGCATCTTAGAGCAGCTCTCCACCATCAACACTGAAGAGTATATGAGCATAATCATTGGAGCCCTGTGCTCTTCAACTCAAGGAGAACTCCATCTGAAACTGGATCTACTGAAGGTGATTTATATTCCTCCTTTGTGTTTTTATTCTCTTGTATACCACAAATGCTACGTGAGGCATTCCATATGCTGTTATTGCTTTTACTTTTATCTTATTCTGAGAGAATGTCATTAAAGTATCCTAAAACAATAACTGAGACTGCTAAAAATTATGCCAGTGTTATAATAAAAATCAAGTAGAGTTCAGAAATAATCTTGGGATATAGGTATTAAAACATATTGTTACTTCTAATATATCTCTGCATGTAATTCAATGCAAGCATAAAAAGAAATACTTTCTGGAGTTCATAAACACCCTTTAGATAAAACAGTTTTGTTACTGAAATTCAAAATAACAATGCATTTTTAAAGTTTTCCTTCATTTCGTTAGTGGTTTTCCTGCTTACTTAATAATAGAATCCAAATGTTACTGAATATTTTATTTGGGCCTTGAACCCCTAAATGAATTTTCCATATAGTTCTGTGCGGTGAGTGGTTCTCATTTTTAAATTCTCTACGGGCAAGAATAATTTTTCTCCCTCTCAGGTTATTGTGAGACTCAAATGAGGTAATGTATGTGAAGTGTTTTGCAAATGTTTAAATGCCAAATCTAAGACTCTGATTTCATCAGAGTAGGGAACTTTTTGGGTTGGAAACTCCAGCACTGTGGATTGGCATCTAAGCTTTACCACATTGTCTCAGTGTCACAGGCACTAAGAGTTTAAGGCTTGTCCATGGCCACATGTCTAATCTGTAAAATCAATGAGGTAATATACGTAAAGCAATTTACAGACCTTGAGAGCTAGCAAATGGCTCATCATCATCAATATCATTTTTCAGAGGTAGGAACCGAACCCTGGTTTTCCTGACTCCTAGACTATTCTCTCTACTATACCATGCTATGTCTTTTAAAAAAAAAAGGACTACATAAATGTCAGATAATATACTCCTTCCAAGACTTTACCCTGCAGTGATTCTAGTATTGGAGATCCCTTCTGGCCCTTTAGGGTTCTCCTGAAATATTGGAAATACATGGATCTACTTCAAGATGTGTAATGTCCTTCCCCCCAATATATTCAGAGAACTGAAAAAACTTTATAAGATATCACTGGTGAAAAGTTAGGTATTTAAATTTCTGCTTTAAATACAGATTATAAGTAATTTTCATTTCTAGCTAAGGAAACAGAGGTGAAAAGGCACAAAGGTGAAGGGACATTATGATGGCATAAGCCTCTTTGGCAAAGAGTGGGAGCCTAGATATTCTAATCACCTTTAGGAGATATTTTTCAGAATTCTTTATAATGCTTCTTTTACAATTGTTTCTTCTTATGATCATAAATAGAGTGCTAGAAGGGACCTTAAAATGATTTGAAAGAAATTCTCTTTGTCCTATTGTTTTTATAGATGAGGAAGCTGGGGTCTAGAGAGATTAGGTGATTTGTCAGTGACCACACAGGTAGTAAATGGGAGAGACAGGATTTGAACCCAGACCCTCTGATTCCAAATCCAGCTTTCCTTCCATTGCTTCATGCTGCTACAAATACTTGCACCACCTGCCTTCCATATTTACCCTATAGACCCAGAATCAGCGTGTGTTTTGTTGTTCAGTTGCGTCTAATTCTTCACGACCCCACTTAGGGTTTTCTTGGCAGAGATACTGAAGTGATTTGCCATTTATTTCCCCAGCTCATTTTAAAGATGAGAAAAGTGAGGCAAAGAGGGTTAAGTGACTTGCCCAGGGTAACACAGCTAGTAAAAGTCTGCGGCTGGATTTGAACTCAGGAAGATGAGTTTTCCTGACTCCAGGCCTGGCGCTGTAATGCACTATGGAGCCACCTAGCTGCCTTAGAATCAATGTTATGTCTTGCAAGTTGGGCTCTAATGATTTATTTGAAAGCATGACAAAAACATGGAAATGAGTAGAAACAGTTACTGTTAGCTTAGAACATGAGCTTCTAGACAGAAAGGCTCCTGCTGTGGGTTTGATTGGCATTTCCTTGGCATATTGTGGGTGGTCGGTATGTCTAGTACTGTAGAGTCTTAGATGTCTTCCAAGCCTTTGGTGAACGTTGAGCTATCTTTGAAATATAGTGTGTATGTGCCTGATAAGTGGGCATTTGGATTGCACTGGAACACTTGTAGTGATGGGGAACTCATCGGCTTGGAGAGCCATCTGTTCCATGTGTAGACATCAAATAGAAGATAGTAAAAGTTTGCTGATTGCGATAAAATTAGGTTGACGAGAAATCTAAATTAGTGGAAGGTTTGAGTTATGGAACATTTGTTCAGGAACACAGTTTGCTGTCTCAAATGCTTACTGTGCCTAGGCCTGACTGGCAGCGATTTTTGTACTCGGGTCTCTTCTTTGATTCAAAGATGGGGCTGGTGTGTGATTCTGTATTAAAACACCTGCCTAAGAAGCAACAGATTCTACTTCCCCTACAATGACGTTTATATAGTAGTAATCATACTCAAAGGACAGCTAGATGGCACAGTGGATAGAGTGCTAGGCCTAGAGTCAGGAAGACTCATCTTCCTAAGTTAAAAGCTAGTCTGAGACATTTACTAGCTGTGTGATCCTGGGCAAGCCACTTACACCCGTTTGCTTCAGTTTTTTTCATCTGTAAAATCAGCCATAGAAGGAAATGGCAAACCACTCCAGTATCTTTGTCAAGAAAACCCCATGGGGAAGCTAGGTGGCGCAGTGGATAGAACACCAGCCCTGGAGTTGGGAAGACCTGAGTTCAAATCCAGCCGCAGACACTTGATACTTACTAGCTGTGTGACCCTGGGCAAGT